ACCCCCTCTAGACTGCTTTTTTTTTTCTTTCAAAAAAACTTTTCTGAAAAAGGGATTGGAAGAAGATATACAAATTCGCACCAAATTTGCATAAGTTCTTTTGGAAGCCCAAGGTAGAACTGTTACCCATGTAAGTACTTAGCACTATAAGTGGGGCTAAAGAAAGAGTCAGGTTTCAGGAGGGCTCTAGTTTGCTATCCCACCCCGCTGCCTTCCCCAGAGAACCACTAGCTGTTCCAAACAGCTGGCGGTTCCCTCTAGATGCCCATGCTCCTGACAGTGGGAGGAGACTTCGCACGCTCCCCTCTGCCCCTGGCCAATCAGGGCTTGAGGGTTGGGGGAACACACAAAGTCTCCTCCCGCCCTCTGCCTGTCCTGCAAGGAGCATGCTGCGCTTAGAAGCTTAAAAGCACCATGCCCCTTGAAGGGTGGGAGGAGTCTTCATGTGCTCCCCTGCCTCCAGGCCAATCAGAATTTGGGGGTGGAAGGACACGCAAAGTCTCCTCTTGCCCTGCCTCCTTCATGCTAGGAGTGTGTGGCGCTTCTAAGGGCCGTGCACTCCCTACAGGACAGGAGCAGGGTGGGAGGAGACTTTGTGTACTGTCCTCCACCCCCAAACTCTGATTGGCCTAGGGGTGGAGGAGTGCGAAGTCTCTTGCTCCCTGCACTTGGGCGCACAGAGCATAGAGTGAACCACCAGGGTTGATTCTAAGTGCTGCACACTCCCCGGTCCCGAGGCCCTGATTGGCCTGGGGGCAAGGAGGTGGCAGGGCATCTGCAGTCCAGATCAACCTGTTTGGTGGGCTAGATATGGTCCATGGAGGCCCTTTTGCCCACCCCTGATGTAATTCATGCTTCTATGCATGCTCAATAAAGACATTTTTCCTACTACTTTGCCTGCCTACTGCTCATTTATTGTGAAAAACCAATATATACATGGCATTCATACAGCAAGAGATCAGGAACATTTTGTTGATACTACTTTGTCAGTCTTGCTTTTTCTCCATTACCATTCTAGCTCTCCGTTCTTACACTCCCTAAAAACAGTATTAACATCTCCAAAAAGGCATTAGAAAACATTAAGTCTGAAAATCATTATAACAGAGATTAGGAGCAAGACTCCTTTACACAAATGACAAGACCTGTCAGAATTTATATATGGCTAAATGATTCAAGACAAAGAAAAGGGTAAAAACTAAAATCCTCCTATCATGGGCTTGGCTAACTGGATAGTAAATTACTTGCAGGTGTTTCTCACTCAAACATTATGCAAGATAAAGGCATGTATTAGATTTTCTTTTTTTTCTCAAATCATGTCAAATAGGAAAGATTATACCATTGTTAAACTATCAGCCATGCATGACTTTTCATCTCCTATTTCCTTGGGCTTTGTTCCTGTACATGGTAGGTGATGGATTTGGCTCCTCTCCTCCTCTAACTTGTTCACAATTAAATCTGCGGATTCACAGAAGGTCTATTTTTCCAGTTTTATCCCAATCATAATATTAGGAAGCTGAAAAGAGATGGAAACTTGATGTAACTTACTGGCTGCACTACCATGAACTTCTTACGTGAAATGTTCTGGTTTTGTTGTTGTTTAAAGTATTGCTCAGCACAAGCAACTGGTATGCCAGCTTGCACCAACCTACTAAGTATTCATAACTGGCTCAATTACTTTCACAAGGTCTCGTTTTATCACAAACCAAAAGGGTTCTCCCTTCTATGAGATCACAAGAGCAGCAAGTTTCCAAATGTGGTAAGTGTAAATAGGAATATAAGGATGACAGAACTAAGTCAACCAGTGTTGCTTGTACACTGCTGTGTGGCATTGTATATAGGCCTCTCTCTCTGTTTAGATTTAAAGTGTTTTTCACACACTGTTTGAAAATAACTGTGAGTAGTCTCAATTCCCTTTCTATGGTTATTGGTTCATTAAAGTAATTAATTAAGGCCTACATAGTGAGTGAAGAGTATCATCACAATCATGGGAAAAAATCTCAGTAGGAAAGAGACTGATCATATCAAAGTTAAAAAAAATTCTCCTCAGATAATCAACAAGGAAAAAAAAGCATCTAAAGCCCACATACTTTGATATATTAGTTTATGGGCTACTTTGCTGGATACTTCTATTAATATATGAATAACTTGTAGGTCTGTGGTCAGTTAAAAAAGTGTCATTAAACTATCCATGCACTTTAATTTAATGTAATATTTTTAATGGACCTACAATCCATAGTAATATACTGAGTAGCTAAACAGAAAAGTCTCATTAGTCATTTACAGAAATTATTTTAAAATTTGATAGACTTTTGTACACTATAAGGGCCTTTCAAAAATATCCTTAATTAAATAAAGCATACATTTATAAAAACACACATACAAGGCTATTTTTTAATTGTGCTAACAAATATCTACCTTGTGTACTTTAGCCAAGGAGTAGCGTATCCATAGGTTAAAACTTGAAGCAATTACTTTTTCTTATGTCTGCTGTTTCTGGTGTCCTCTGAAGCTTACAGACACAGTGGTGAGTAATTGCATCACCTATGCATCTTTTGCTGCCTCCTTCTCTTTCCATTTCAGCATATATAACAGGTAGTTATTTGTACTTTCAGTCATATAAGTGGAAAACACTGAGCCAATACTTGGAGCTCTAACTCATTTTTATTGAGATCTGTCAGAGGTTTGCCAAGTAAAAAATGAATTAGGATCTCAAGAAATAAGCCCAATGTTTTTAGATTAACTGATAATTTTCTGGATGCTAGTTTTATATGAGTTTTTGTTTGTTTTGAATTAAGATTGAGGCAAAGAGGATTTTTATTATTTATTTCTTGATTATTATTATTATTTTATTATTGTTGTTTATTGCTCTCAATTCCTGCTTGCACTTAGCTAACACTGAAAGAGGCATTCAGTATTTAGGTCATGCTTTTTTAAATTGAGGTTTACTGCTTTGCTGGAAGAAATAAGTCATTAAAATACCTGCCTGCAAGTTCTCATATTCAGTTTTATTTGCAATTTGTTGGCAAAGGCATTGTATAATTTTGTCAATTCTCTATCAAACAAACTCTGTGACTCTGTTGATTTTGACATGTAGTTACTGAAAAGAGAGGGCATTGCATAAATATTTCCTGAGTGATGTGAAGGCCAAAAAGTCAAGTTTAAATATATGAGAATTTCAAGGATTTATTAATTCTCCAGTCTTTTGTTTGCGTCTGATAATTGCAGCACTTTGTTTTCATGTTATCCATGCCTGAGGTTTTCCTTGTATGAGTACATTTGTGGAATTGCTACTCTTAGTCCAGGCTGGATTTGGGCTGGATGGAAGCAACACTGCAAACCCCAGTGAAGATCAGCTGCTAGTGGATGCCAACACTTTAAGCACTACAACATCAGTTTCTACTAGGGCAAGTCTAAGCAACACAATTAGATGTTAGGCAGCTCACAGTATTGCTAATTACAGTGCAACAAAACTGGTGTTTAGTAAACATGGAAAAGTTTTGAAAAAATGTAAACATATGTTTAATGTGCCTATTCCCCAATTTACTCTCTAACCAAGTTTCTAAACCATCAGTTTCAGCCTGACAATTTAGTATGATGCTGTTATGAGTTGACAATACAAAAATCTTTGGTATATCAAAAACTGTAAAGGGACGACCGCATAAAATAAATTCTCCAACTTTGTTTTCTCTTCCGCAGTTGGGCTTCTCCAAAAAGTAAGTGATAATTTTGCCACAACAGCCATTACTAAAGAAACAGAGAACAGATTTCTGCTTCCTTATGCATAAAACACCAAAAGAACTCAATGGAAACTGTGATCAGATTGCGCTAGTGTAAAAGAAGAAATTGTCCCATACAGTGTTGCAGACTATAGGGTTTCAGAAGTTCTCTTTAAGTCAGGCCATCTCTTTTTGAAGATGGCATGCTTGTTTTTTAGAGAGAGAAAGAACTAAAAGTCTTACTACCTGAAAATGCTTCAATATAATAACAATCAAATCTACTGTATTTATTCCTGCAAATGCACAGAGTTCCCCACTTCCAGCATCCTGGCATCCCATTTGTAGTGACACAGGAAGAGGCTCTCTGACTAAGGATATGCAGTGCTGCAAATTCCCATGGTTTTATCATGCAATCGTTAGTGGGTTGTTTGTTGTTTTTTCTTTTTCAAAAAAGCTCCTGGAATCTAGTGATCCAGAATCTCAAACAGAAGACAAATAAAATGCAAAATAGTTATTATTTTTCAAATCCCATAATTTTATGGGGAGGGTTGATTTATGATATTGGGATTGATAAAATATTGCACTGCAGTTTTCAGATCCTCTCTTCATTTCCTCTTTTCTCTTCTCTAATAATCATCTGAGGCCCTCACCTACCTCCTTCCCTTCTGCTTGTGTAGGGACCAGGGTATGAATATTCGTCAGTGCCTTGTACTTCCAATACCTCTGGAAGTTGGCCAGACACAGACTTAGGCTGCCTGCCACAGACCTGAGTACCTGCCCCTAAACTTTCCTCTCAGCACTCAACATATGTGCCACCCTGGCACCCTCTTTTCTTCAGACTAGATTCCCCCACTCCTTGCTCGCAGGTGCACATCTGGGCCACTCACTCTTTGTCCCTGCTAAGGAGTCATTATTTCCTCCACATGTGGTGCTCTTTCTACCTGGCAGCTATTATTATGCTGTTTAAAATCAGCATCCTGTTTAAAAACCTCATTTCTTGTTGACAACCTGACTCAGCTAGTAGAGCAATCAAGGCTCAATGAGTGCTTTTGGGCAAGTGACTAGTCACTGAGGGTGTGAAAAAACGTTGGTTAGTCAGAAAGGGCAGGGAAAGGTGTGTCTGTCAGAAAGGGGGGGAAGCTATTGTTCAGTCAGAAAGGGCGGGAAAAGCTGTTGGTCATCAAAAAAGGCGGGAAAAGAGGTGCCAGTCAGAGAGGGTGGGGAAAAGCCGTTGGTCAGCCAAAAAGGGCGGGAAAAGCCGTTGGTCACCAGAAAAGGCGGGAAAAAAGGTGCCAGTCAGAGAGGGAGGGGAAAAGCAATTGGTCTCACACTGCTGCTTCCTCAGAGATCTCTTCCTCCTCCTCACTGACTGGCTCTCTGCTGCCCCATCAGTGAGCTGGAGAGAGTAGGAATGTGATGTCTGAGGCCCATAATAGCCCATTTTAATCCTTTGCAGAGGGTGTCACCTCTTCTTCAAAATGTCTCTGTCCCTTCCTGGGGTGACAGACTGGTCGGCATTCACCTTCCTGGACCACCACAGGACTGCCCTGCTGCAGTCCATCAAGGAAGAAAGCAGAGAAGAGACTAGAATTGAGGAAACTGGCCCCTCCAATAACATTCGTGAAATCACTTGGTAAATAATGACAGGGTGAAGTCACAAAGGGTGCTCGCACAATCTGACACTGGTATGGGCCTAGCAGGCACCTGCACCATTGCGCGCGCGCACACACACACAGCATCATGTCTTCTGTGCCAATATAAGACCCAAGTTCCCCTACAAAAATATGCTATTGACCCAGACAAAAAGGGTTCCTGTAGGCTGTGCATGTGGGTGATGCCCAGGACAGATTCATATGCTGTCCAGCTGATTGGCAGAGTGCCTACTGCCACTCACAGATGGCAGCATGTGTTTATACTGTGGTGCACATAACAAAATTTGCCTGTGCACATAACAAAATTTATTCCACACATGGATGGAAAAAATTAGAGGAAACATGGCCTGTGATACTGCATATACACAGTGCTGTAATTCAGTAATGGCAGTGTGGAAAATAATACTCCCCAATTCCCACTGGCATTGGCAATACCAGGTATCTGCACCACGGCACACACAGTGTCTTGACTATTCATGCTAAGATGGAAGGAGGATGTTCCCCAAAATACCGCATTAGCTTGAGGAAAATAAGTACCTGTGTGCCACTATACAGATAGGCTGTGTCTATACAACAGCTGACTTTATTCCAAAATAACATAGCGTGCATCTACACTACAAGCCTTTATTTCGAAATAATGTCGAGCTGGAGGACTTCTTACTCTGACTCATTGTAACTCTCATTTCACGAGGAGTAAAGGAAATCAAGGAAAGTGTTCTTCCTTCGACTTTCTGCTGTGTAGACAGCACCAAAAGCCAAATTAAGCTATTTCAACGTCAGTTATGCAATTGACATACCTTAATTCAACTTTAGCGTTGCTGTGTAGATGTACCTATACAGTGTACTGACGGAACCATGCAGAACTAGTCTCACAAACTGCAAAATTGCATTTAGAATAGTTTTACTCGTGTCCACATATCGTTTGCGAAAAGTACTATAAGATTAATTCTTTATCAGTTTTCTCATTTATGACGTTATTTAAGTGCATTCCATATCCTACGCCAAAACTACTAACAGTTTATGTGAGACCTGTTAGAAATGAGCTAACAGGTTGTATCCTGATGTAAGATCTAGAGTACCTAGCACTGCTGAGCCCAGATTTCATTATTATTAACTCAAAGTGCATTTTAAATACGTACAGTCAGCCAGCACTGTATGTTTACTTACTAAAATTGAGTTAATCTCTTGAAAAGGATATGGACCAGAGAAAATAATATATGTAAGTTGGTAGACCATTGCAGCCCTCCTAGCTTCTGATGTCCCAGAAAGGAAAAAATCAGGGTAAGAATGAAGCCTGGACCTTCCATTTGGGAGTGTAGCTCAGACTATGTGTTTTATTACAGAACCTGACAAAACAGTTTGAGATGTGCAGATCTGATGCACACTTCACGATACATCTGGAACATAAAAGATAACTGGTAGCTAAAGAAACAGAGTTAGAAGTGCCGAACAATAAAAGTATCTATAAAAGGCAAAATTTGGATGAACTGTCTATTGAGCTACTCTAGGCATTCATATGTCTCTCATCACTATAGTATTTGAGAATGCATCTTATCTAACGAACAGCTGTATTCGGTTTTGCTTTCCTACTTTACTCTAAGCTGTGTCTACACTGGTGCATTCTTGCGCGAAAACGGCCACTCTTGCGCAAAAATATGCCGCCTGTCTACACTGGCCGTGCATTCTTGCGCAAGTAAACTAACATTGTACTGTAGAAAATCAGGGCTTCTTGCACGAGAACTCTGACGCTCCCTCTCAGAAAGAATCCCTCTTGCGCAAGAGCTCTTCCAGAAGAGGCCAGTGTAGACAGGCAACATGAATTTCTTGCGCAAGAAGCCCCTATGGTTAAAATGGCCATCAGAGTCTTCTTGCGCAAGAGAGCGTCTACACTGCCATGGATGCTCTTGCACAAAAGCACATGCCAGTGTAGACGCTCTCTTGTGGAAGAGTTTTGCACAAGAACTCTTCCGCAAGCGTTCTTATGCAAGAAGCTGCCAGTGTAGACGTAGCCTTTGCCTTCTCTGCACTTTACCTTTTGTCCTTTTTTTTCTGCACTTAATGACTTCTCTAAAAGAAAGATACTAAGTTTTAAGGAGTAGCATCTGCAGTCAAAAGATAGAGGACTCAATTATGAAGCTGTTTCACAATGGCAAATGAACTTATGCAGAGGCTGTATGATGAAGCCTTTTAATTGACTCTTCAACTGTGTTGCTATTTGGCTTTAGTCAGTAACAAAACTGGGCTTCCAGATAGAACGTTCAGCTAACATATATATTTTGAATGTGTTTTCTAGTCCTTACCCAGATTTATACTGGAACAGTGTGCACTTGTAATTTTAAGGACAACACAGTTTGGAATCTGACTGCTTATGAAAATAAAAAGCATCTGTCACAACACTTGGACCAACATACTATTTTGCTATAGGTGATTTGTTGCATAGTTAGTTTGTTCACTAACAATGCATAGATTTTGTCCTTTTCACTGTGCATCTTTTGTGTCAAATCCTTCATGTAATTAAACATGTTTTACTTTATGTTTTATGAAACAAAACCTCAGCAGTTCATTCAGGGCAGCAGATCAAAAGGTTAATGTGATATGGTACAACAGGAATTATTTGTACTCTTGAATATTTTTGCAATTTACAGCATTTAAAAACAAATTAACCCAAATCATAGCCAAAAACAATATTACATCATTTAAACTAAAACATTAATCATCTGTCTCAAACCAACCGGTTGGTCGGAAAGTTCAGCTGGTTGAAAATCTGATCGTATGAGGAGTGAGTAGAAATGTATTTTTAACTTGTTCAACTCAGTCATGCATGTAGAATGACAAATCAGGGATTCTAGGAAACTAAGCAAGACAAATTTCAGGAAAATAGTAGTGGGAGAAACTGGTGTTCTGCATCTTTAAAATGAACACATACATAGCAACATTAAGATTTAAATATTTGTTATAGATTTTACAGGAGGGGATCCTTCCTAATGTAAGAATTGACAGTGAATTATGGCTAATCACGTAAAATGTTATTCACTGTTTCAGTTCTGAGATCCTTGGAGCAATAGAAAATGTTATACAAGATATAGTTACAAGTTTGGCCAGAAACAAAGCACCTGTTCTCACCTTGGTTAACAGATCAGATTGGAGAAATATACAGTAAGTATTACTCATGTGTATGTTTGATTATTATAAATACCAGAAATAGTTATTTTCTCCATTAAATATTTTCAAATGAATCCACCTTATGAAATCTGATGAACCACAGATTTAGTATATAACTTCATGCTTCATGGTTTCAGCTGGTCAATTTTAAAGGTCATGAATGAATGAAATTCTTCCCCAATGTACTCCGGATTTTAGGGTGTGAGTTTGTCTCCTTTATCTGAATCATCAGCGATTGCCACAAATGGAGTTGGGACAACTTAGGGTGGACCAGTGCTGGGAGATGATTCTGAAAAGTCTCTTTCTTAGGTGCTTGGCTTGTGATCTTGCTCACATTCCCATGATCTTACTGATCACTAACTACATGTAGGGTCATGGAGAAATTTTCGCTCAGGTCAGATTGACTATGACTTGGGGAACATGGAATATGGGTTGCTTGCTGGGATTATCTGAGTATCTGTTACTTAATCAAATTCCTCCCATTGCAGGGGCCTCTGACATAGGTGCACCACAATGTCTCCTGTTCTTTACTTGTGACACACAATAGGTTATTCTCATGAGGGCTGTAATACTTTGGTCCATTTGTGATGGTTAGACTTGGTGTGTGTGTGTGTGTGTGTATGTGGGGTGACTGGGCCTGTGAAGTTCAGGAGGTCAGACTAGATGATCTGGTGGTTCCTTCTCATCTTAAAGTCTATGACCAGGGTTCGACAAATAATGCAATCTACTTCCTCGGGGCAAGTAGATTGCAACCCGGAAGAGCCAGGTTCAGATGATCTGCTTATGTGCAGATCGCTAGACAGCACGGCTGGGAAGCAGGGTTTGCCATGGTTCGGCAAGCCCTGTCTATGACTAACTTTATTTCTTCAAAAAACAAAAAGCAACCACCAACCTTAGAAGCTGTTGTGTTAAAAAACAGAAGTGACCTTTAATAATTCATATGCACGAAGAGATAGCATGATATTATGTACCACAACAGAGGAACACCATGTGCAAGAGAGAGTAACACCACAGTAAAAGGAGAGAAATGTCATAAAGAGGATATTAAGATATAATCTTCTGGCAGGAAGAGAAAACACAGATATAATGGTTTGCTTGTGATCAAAAACCTGGTCCAGCCTAGGGCAGTGTTCCCTCTAAGATTTTCCAGCCATGAGCGGAGTGAGTTTTGGCTTGTGCACCAATATTGAGGTCATGTGTGCTGGTTTGGATGTGTGCCACCATGGCACCCAATTTATTAACACTCACACGTTCCCAGCTACCGGAGCAGAAACCCCTTTCTCCCCCGCCATGCAGCATGTCCCATTCCCAGCTGCTGGAGCAGACCCCACTCCACCCAGCCATGCAGCAGGTCCTGTTCCCGACCTCCAGAGCAGACACCCTCCTGCCATACAGCAGGTTCTGTTTCTGGCACCAGCTGCCAGAACAATCCCTGGGCCCCCTGCCACATGGCAGCCCCTGCCACCACAACAGGATTCCCCACTGCCCTGAAGCATCTGCAGGTCCTGGCCCCCCACTCCAGCGGCTCCCTCACCACTGTCTCAGCTGGCCCCGCCCACCAGACCAGCTGCCTGCCACACGAATGCTGCTGCACAATTCTCCAGAGGAGGTGGGCTGGGGAAGAATTTTTTGTGCACAGCAACGCAAGCACGCATCTTAGTGGGAACTCTGGCCTAGAGCTGTTTCTCCTCTCCATTGTCTCAGTTTCTTCTATCTGTTCTCCTTTATGCTGGCTCCTCATCTCAATTTCTGTTATTTGCATCTATCTTGGGATGTGTAAGTTTTTACCTTTTTACTATTCTCTCTCCTTTCTGGCCCTCTTATTTCACTGTCTTTCCTCCCCTTCCAGCTGTTTCTTTATGGCTGTGAGTGCACGTGCAGGAAATTATTATATAAGGAATTCTTATATAATGAGAATAAGAAACTTCTGTCAGCGAAAAACTGAATAGCCTGAAGATATTCAGTTAACCAAAGGACTTTGTATGGTCCAGTGGATTTAATGGTTTATGTCCTGATAGTTTCAAAATATGTTTTTCTTGGATGGCAATAAAATTAAAACAGTATAACAATCTTAGGCAATGTTAGGGTATTGCAGGCTAGGGGACTAAATATGAGATTCTATTTGCCATCAGAACACATAGGAAGAAAAATATGTTCAAATCAAAAGAAATGAATATTGTAGTGTTAAAGTAAGGTTTTAGCACTTAAATAAAAATAATTACATCCTTATCTATGATGGGCCAGTCTCAGGGAAACAGTTCCTACTAACTAAGGCATGTGTGAAGCCTAGAAGAGATCAAATAAAAATAAGTAGGAGCAGAAAGCCTCAAGCCACCATGTGTGAAGTGACGGTAGAGTCAATGGGGCACGATTTTCCTTTACCCAGAAACCTCTCTATTCCAAACCTGCAGAGCAGAAGGAGGTGAAACTTAAGGAACAGCTCCATATTTTGCATGTTCCTTGCTGGTAGATGTCCATCCAGGAGCATCTCTCTGAAAATAAGTAGTACTTGTTCCAAGAGTAGTACCATTAGTTTCTACTATCCAATGGCTATGTCTACACTATGACGCTTTTAGCAACAAGGTTGTGTTGCCATAACCCTATCACTAAAAGTTGGCATGTGTGAATGCTGTTTGTTGATATTTTGGCATAGCCCTTTTCCTAACTTACAATGTGTAGGTACACTACAGGGTACATTAAGCTGGCACACTTTTCCGCAGCCCAAGTGCAAAAAAAAATTTTTTTTTTTAAATACAATGGATTTGAGAGAAGGCTTTCATTTCTGTTGTTTTTATTCTCATATGTATAGTCTATAAAGCACCATATACAGTTATGATAATATACAGCTATTATACTAAATAAAAATATATTACTACAATGGCCCTTTTGAAAAAGATTATCAATATATGTTGCATCAGATTTCAAGATGATGCATGTAACATATGTCAAAATACTTTGATGTATCTTTGATATTACAAAATAACAATGAACAAAAACGTTGCTCTAATATCTCTTCAATTATGCAGTTTTTCTTTTATTTATTTATTTAGGATGTTGTGCTTGTCCATTGTAACACCATGCACATTCTCATGCTGTGCTGTGTGGTGTGTTCTGCCACCCAAAGGATGCATAAGGCAATACATGCGACAAGTAAAGAACTAGAACTGTGTTATGTTGGTGTATTAGAAATTATTATTGTGATTTTAATATTATCTTTTTTAAAAGTGTAAAAGATCAGTTATTAAAACACATGGTAAATAGATGCAAAACTCTTGTAGGAACAGTGTGCTTTAGGAACAGAAATTATCTAGAACAATAATAACTATAGAAATCATTCTTATCTAAAAATAAATAAATGGTTCTAGGAAAAGTTTTGTTCTGATTGTATTTAAATGGATTTGGTGACTGTTAATCCTACAACTGTGAAACCGATAAAAAAAACATTCTGATGAAACAATTTTTTAGGCAATAGGGAACATAAGATGTTTTTCTCCACAAATTGCTATAGACAAAGTTGATGCACTTAGCTAAAATTCTCAAAGGCATTTAAATTAAATATTGTTAGTATTTTACTAATATGAAATTATTAGTAAAATACTTCATATTAGGAAAATATAAACATCTTATTGAATGTATGGGTCTCAAGTGGACATAACTGGAAAAGAGCAGAGTTTCTATTATAATTTAAATTCCCTGGCTTGACAATAAAGTTATGCTTCACTTTTTATTCTGCATTTTACCATGCACAGCGTTAATTTTGACTATATGTGATCACATCAAACATATCTAATGATTTTTTTCCTGTTTCAGGTATTCTTTTGCTTTTATTATACATAAGAATGCTGATGTAATAAATATCTGCTTAGAAAAATATAGAAAATTGACATGTACTTGGAGCTACTTTTCACTTGGGAACATATACATTTTAATTTGGGGTTTAGTTTTGAGAGCTTTACTCAGGCAACTTCTTATTGTTTTCAATCTGGGGACCATCCAGGGGCTGAATCACCACACAGTGCAATATTGAGAAATCTCAGCATTGCTTCTAATAGATGGGAATTGC